TCTGTTAAATTAATGACCGATAAATTTAGAACCGATAAAAGGGAAAAGGAAATAACACCACGGATAGCCTGGGGAACTCATTTGTTACAAACTTCAATTCAACTGCGGGGGCTGCAATTTTTTTTTTTATTATTATTTTTAACCGAAAGGGCTGGATACACTTTGTGACAACAGCAATGTCTAGAGCGATGCTATTCAGTGCCTTGCCTGCAACAGGGTTCCCCCAATTCTCCAGCTTATGCAAACCCCACAGCGTGGGGCCAGCAAAGTTATTATTCACAGAGGTGGAGCGTACTTTAATTTCAGACAAACAAAACTGCCACCGATTCACAGATCCCATTCTTTGCCTGGCTTTATTTTGAAGCCTGGTCACCAGCGTCTCAAGCTGGGTCGCGTCTCTGCTACATGGGGTCTGTAGCAAACATAACCGAATCCCGTTCTCCCAGATGTAGGCTCCCCGGGAGTCATAAAGGAATTGCTGCATCCTCACATACATCAAGAGTACGTGGGGACTTTGCTTTCATTTGAAGCGCAAGCACCAGCTCTTGGCTCGTAGCAGGCATTGCAAACTCTTTAGAGTCCTCGAGACAGTCAAAGAAAAGTGCTGTCGGATCTGCTTCAGGTAATCAGGATGCCCCCAAATCCCTGTCGCAGGACAGACACATTTGATCTGCTGCTTGCAGGAAAAGCCTTCGCTGCAATTCCTCCAGCATAAATGCACACTTCTCCCAAAGATGGCTAGGAAAAAAAATCAAGGGTCCGCTGGCTTCCACGTGCCCATTAACAAGGAGCAGATGATTCTTGCCTGTTAAAAAACGAAGGATTGCTAGCTCGTGGCATGCACAGTCAAGGCATGAACCCTGGGCTCTGGACCATGCCGACAAGGAAAGCAGGATGTTACAGAGACCAGAGCACTCTGCTGACCTACTGCTGCAAATGTTAAAAAGTTTACTAAAATCCTGAACATAAAAGCATTTTTAGGGGAATGATTTTGAAATTAGCCATGTCCTCCAGAAAAGTGGATTTTAGCTAACAATCCCCCAGTAACGTGCAGGTAAGGAATCCCAACTCCAACCCAGACCACCAGTAGGCTTTGCAGGTGCCATGCCTCCTCATCCCCCTGTTATAACAGATACAGCATTCACCTTGGAGCGGCATCACGTATCCGGACAGTGACGCTCCCGACGCAGACTCCAACTGCGTTGAGCATCACAAACCACGTCGCTAGGTCATAAAACCATTACAAGGGGAGGACGGTGGCACTTACACCAGTCAGGCCTCTGCCAGTGCAGAGCAACTGCAAGAAAGCTGCACAACAGCTTGTCACGATGGACTAAGCCTTCTCCCATCACAGAGTTAAGACTCTCTATAAACTTTGGGGGATCAAAAAATGCTCTCGTTGCACCACAAAATGAACTAGCGCTGTTCAAATCTACTAGGGTAGAGATTCCCCCAAAATCAATGCTCTACAATTTTTTTCTTAGCTCAATCTTTCCAAAAAGGGAGACAGAGAGAGGGAGAGAGAGAGAAGTGTCAAAATTCAATTATTCCTTTCGGGGCTGCAATCTAGGACTCTACAATGGAAGCCCAAGCATATATTTTCTTGTAGCAAATTTTCATTTACAAATAAAGAATTGGCTAAAGCCGACTTGTAACTAAAGGATTTTGTAGGGCTGTCAAGAGCCCTCTGCCTGGCAGCGTCTGATTTAAGAGAGGACCAAGCTTCGGGTGCCATGCAAAAGGGGGAGGTAGGCAATTATTCTAAGCACTATTTCACACATTACCATAATTTTTATATTTGACCAAGAAGGAAAGAAAAAAGCTACTTCTTTTAGAAGGAAGACTGAAAGTTGGATTTTTTATTTATTTATTTTTTTTAAAAAGGATCACTTTGTTTCCATAGCTTCAGTCACAGAAAATATTGATAATGACAAGCAAATTCACAACATTTTAATGCCTGCAGATGTGTTGTGAGGTGGGAAATGGTTTCAGAAATCAGCTCTTTGGTACAAAAGAGAAGCACAAAATTAAGTTGGCTTTAGCAATCTGTGTTTTCCTGAAAAGACAGTTCAATTGCTTTGTTATACACGCTCCGCTCAGCAAAAGAGGACAAGTAATTTGTTGCCTTAGCAATTCTTCCCACCCTGACATGCTTAAATAGGGGATTGCATTGTCCTCCTTCGTGGCGCAAACCATCGCTGCACCTGCAACCTGTCCATGAAGCCAAGTGCAATTCATTATTTCACCTCTTCTACCTCCTCCGCCGAGGACAACGGGCTCCTCAAAGACGGTGAGTGACAGGTATGATGTGGTCATAACAGACACAAGGGCCAGGAGCGCAGCCACCTCCAGAGCAAGACCGCAAAGTGCTTTACAGATGTGATTTAATGAAACCTCGTAACCACAGAAAGGTTATGGACTTCCTGAGCTCATACAGCAAGCGCGCTTGAGGGGTGAAATGAAAGTCAAGAGACAGAAACGGGGCCGAAGAGCCAGAAGTACGGTAGGGCCACGTGTGCCCAGCAGCGGGGTTAGCTCAGCCAGACAAGGGGGAGCTGCAATTTGCACTGACCGTACCGATGCCTATGTCAAGCCTATGCCATCCTAACAGGTTTAAACCACAACTTGCCTTGTCAGACAAGGTTTTGTGGGTCGACTTAGACCAACACGGCCCCAATCAACATCCCTAAAACTTACCTTGTCTGCACTGATGCAGCCTCCCCAGTTTCCACGCATTGGATCACCGAATCAGGACCAGCGCCAAATACAGACCAAGCCTAGGACTCCAGCTCTCACCTGCAAATCCTTCCTCATTAGCACTTAGCTAGGATAAAAACCTAAGCATCACAGAGGTCCCAGTCCACGATGAGGCCTTGTAGGTGCGACTGCATCACAAATCGCAACTCAAGTAACAGCCTATGCGGAGACCTTGAGCCAAATACCTTGAATACAACCCCCAAAGCTGTCACCTGCTCCAGGTGGGAATTGAGAGACTGCTGCGGGGCGGTATAGACTGGTGATTTTCTAGACTGGGCCCTGCAAGTGTGAGGAGGTGGGCAAACAAGGGCTTTCCTTGCCTAGCCCCTTTGCAAGGAGGTAAGCATTGTAAGAAATAAATTCACTTTTGAAACGGGGTGCTGCGCTGTTCACAAGTGTGATAGAGGGGTGCCCCGAGTCGAGAAAGGTTGAGAACCACTGGCACAGACATACCCTAAAAATAGTACAATCTGATT